CCCCCCCCCCCCCGAATCTCGGTGCAATCCCTCGCCTGTACTCCCAGTAAATGCAGAAATGTGTCTAGCGGCTTTCGCCGACCGCTGGCGTATTGAATTTCAAATGTCGCGATCAAATGACATCCAGCGGCTTATATACCAAGTGAAAAGCAAAAGAACATTCCGTCCGTTCACTAGTAATAATTCTCGCCAATATCTTTAACGGCTATTGGCTGTAAAACACGATCGCGTGTGTAGTGTCCGTCAGACGGAGAGATTCGACAGGAAGTATTATAACGATGTGCATGTGTAACAGCACATGACAACATTGTGTGATTTTTAAATCGAGCTAGTTGCACGCGCACCGCAATTAGCTTGGCCAGTAAATTAATTGTCGGACGTATTATGCAACTCGCAGTGGCGGCGATCTCTACACGGACTGCTGCCGCCGCCTGCAGTGTACACACACACATCTTCGTCGTATTCGCGGCCGAGTAATTATGACCAGTCTGGCATAACAATGTATTTGTATGAACAATATAATTATTACGGTAACGTCGTTATGTTGTACAGAAATAGATTAGTCGAAACGAGTGCAACGTTAATTGAAAAGTAAGAGAAAAAATACATTCGTCGTGGAAAAGTGAAAGCCCCCGGGGGAGGAGAAGTGCATTGAATGAGTGCGTCGTATATATAAACACGGCGACGCTTTTGGCTAATCAAATTCGTTTTTCGTTTACCTCCATCATGTTGTTGTTGTTGTTATTGTGCGGTTGTCTTTCGGCCGCACTAGCCGGCCAACAGTCAAAACGCAGCGAACAATCCGATTTCGGGTACGGCGACAGCGGCGAGTTCAGCCATTTCCAAGACGAACAACCGTTCCATTCCGGATATGCCCAACAGCAACAGCACAACGACTGGCAGCCGTATCACCACCACGAAGAGCCCAAAGTGTCAGTGATAGAGAAAAAGGTGCCCGTACCGTATCACGTCCAAGTCGAAAAACCCGTGCACTACATCGTAAAAGTGCCGGTGGACAAACCGCGTGCAGTACACATACCTAAACCGTATCCGGTTAAAGTCGAAAAAGAGGTACCGTACCCGGTGAAAGTGTACGAGCCCCAGCCATATCCGGTGGAGAAAAAAGTTCCGGTGGCCGTTAAGGTACCGTACGACAGACCGGTACCCTACCACGTCGAAAAACCCTATCCCGTTTACAAGGAAAAAATCGTCAGGTACCCAGTTTATAAGAACGTGCCGTACCCAGTCAAAGTTCCATACGACAGACCTTACCCGGTTCACGTGCCCGTAGAGAAAAAGGTTCCGTTCCCGGTAGAAAAACCCGTGCCGGTACCAGTTAAAGTGCCGTACGACAGGCCTGTACCGTATAACGTTTACAAGAACGTGCCAGTGCCTTACGAAAAACCAGTGCCGTATCCAGTAGAAAAAGAAGTGCCCTATCCCGTCAAAGTTCCGGTTCATGTTCCAGTCCATGTACCAGTCAAGATCGAGCACAAACCACATTACGAACACGAACACAGTTACGGTCATCATTCCGAAAACTTCGACCAAGAGTCCTACAGCCACGGACATGATTTTTAAACGTGTTCGCCATCAGCGTACTCAATAATTCTGATTGAATATTATCTTTTGTATACTTTTGTATTTGTACTACCCCAATTACTTATTAATAAACTATTTGTTTTTTGTACTTGGATTAATTTTTTTGTAAATATATGTAATGACTTTCAAGGAAAATAAACGTTAAGCGTTAAACAAATAAGTGCTCATTTAATTTTATACAATTCGAATTATTATTCATTAAGTTGACTATTATAACAAAATACGATCATTCTCTTGCTTAACAATTACTGTATTCATTTTTGCATATAGTCATAAAATAAAAAAAAACTTAACAGTACTTTTTTGGTTAAAATAAATGAAAAAAAAAACGTCTTCTGTAATACAATTTAGTTAAAAAAATGAAATAAAAATTTAGGATATTTGAATAAAGGTGGTTTTGGCGGAACCGTTGATTAAAGGACATTCAATTATCTTTTCTGGACTCACAGTTCCAACGTTGACCGTCAAGCGAGTTATAAGTGGAATCCTATCGTCGTTAGGCATATCTTTCCAAATTGTATTCATAACCCGTTCAGCAGTGACTATTTCATTCTGTTCGTCTAAAGCAGAGTTTAATTGATCGACTTTCAGTAACAAAACTATGACGGCATTTTTTACTGTAGGGTTGAAAGTATCACATAAAAAGTGAAAAGCTTTGATTGCTTTCCATGGAATATCTTGGACATTTTCAACGACGAGCACTTCATGTTCTTCTAGTGGCGAAACTATCTATAAACAAGTTGTTTATCACGTTAAACTTCTTACAATTTATTGAAATTCAGAAACAAGACGTGAATTTATATTCAAAATTATGGATTCAAACAGATATAAACTTTCCTAGAGATTTCAAATAGAAAATCTGATGTAAACACATTAATAAAAAACGAGAAATTAACCTTAATTTTGTTGTACGATAAACTAGTGACAGATTATTTTATAAAAAATACACGAGTGAAAGTATAATTATAAAAGTTCTTAAATTGGTTTCCTTATTTTAATTATACTATTTAGGAAGTACGAATTTACCACAGAATTTTAAACTATAATTTAATATATTTAATGTTTAAAATATATACATATGTAAAAAAGGGAATTTAACTAATACTACTACGTTGTGTTATATTAGTCGATTATGTTAGGGGCGATCTCTTCTAATTTTATTTTAATCAATGTTTTCTTGGCTGCTAGAGTACAGTGCCATTCGGTATAAAATTATAAAGACCGAATTTGAAAAAAGAATATCCCCATCTCGAAGTAAAAGTTGAGGGCTATTATCCAGTATTTTTTAGTATCGAGTTATTAATGAATAAATAATGTACCAGAAAAATGTTTAGGTACATATTTATTTAAATTATTAAAATTAACCAATTATAGATGTCTTAAATGTAAATAATTCTGTAAAATTATATCCTAAAATAGTTTTGAAACTTATTTATAGTACTGGTTAACAAAATTATGCTTTTTTAATCATCCGTGATAAAAATAAACTCGATAATTACTACATTGATTTAAAATTTACAATTACATTTTTACCACCACCTATAGTTCTTTTCTAATTATTCATTAGTAAAAACCGGGTAATTTCATTAAATTTTTCTTTGAATAGTTATTTTATTTTGACGCGTCGCTGAAAAGGTATTGGTTTTACTGTGCTCCGTTATTTTTTCATATATCATAATGATGTGTGTACAATTATCCGCCAAAATGTCATATTTAATCTATTTAAAAACATATTTATATCTATTTTCTATGCAATTGTGTATATATTATATATAATTTAATGCATTGTCGCACCTACATTATATTTAACATCCTATATTTTTATTTAAAATATATTTCGACAACTTTGTATAAATCTTTTAACATAAAATGATAAAATTTATTTGTTATTTAGTAGCCTTTGTAAAATAATATTAATTTAAATAGATCACTGATATAATTAATCTCAGTGTAATTTTGGAATATATTAAATCAATATTTTTTACATAGGGTAGTTTATTTAGTGAATGAAAAGTTAATAATTCTGTATATCTTATAAAGTGTTAAACATTTATAATTTGATGCTAAACTCATGAAAATTGCAATGTTCTTTCACTGGTGATATTACTCTAACTTTTTTTTTATCATAACGTATTATATCGCTTTAATTTGATTTACGTTAAAAAAATTCAGTACTTAAAAATATTAAGTTGAAAAACGTTATATTATCATTTCGAATTACGACAAATGCGATCATTAAAAAAAGTTAGCATTTTAAATGTAAAATAATATTTTTAATTTTGTGCGGTTTTAATACTTGCTCATTTTGAGAAAAATGTTTTCAATTGAAGAAAATTCGGGATCTTGTGGTGTTTAGTTGAGTAATATTATTTAAATAGAAGTTGCATATACGAGCAACAGAAAAAATAAATCACAGAAAAAACATTACTTTCTTAGCTTCTCATTGAAGCTAAAATACAGTATAAGAATTAATATAATGAAATATTAGATAATCTTACAAAGCTTAATGACAATAAATTAACAAACCAACAGATTTATTAACATTAGTTATACAAATAAAATATTATTTCTTAAAGTCATTTTTAGCTTTATATTATACAGATTCTGTTACAGAAATAACTGTCTGAATTTTATTTATACTTGAATTATAAAGTAATTGAGAGTGAGTAATTATAATGTACACCATACAAATATTTTATTTGGTCGACTATGTTATAAAAAAAATGATGGTGTGAAAGAGAAAGATTTGGAACATTATATAAACAAAGAAAGGAACTTGTTGTTAAAAAACCATTTGGCAAAAATATTCAAATAAAATTGTTTTATTCTAAAATTGTTGTCGCGTATAAATAAAAGGGTGACCAAACGTACTCTTTTACGAAGATTTTCCTTTTTTTATGTCATTTTATGACATGTCTTTTGGTCAAAATGTCTTCTTTTTATCTTTATTTATCAATTCATATTCCATACGCAATATTAAACAAACAACATATTTTAAATTACAAAAAGAAAAGACGATGTTTAAAAAATATACATTACCAATTTATCTTTAATCAGGATTATCTGTTAGATCTAATTATATTTACCATAAAACATAAATGGAGTTTGAAAAACAAACTTAGACAAAAATATTAGGCCTCATTTTATTTTTGATGCGTCTTACCCTTTTCTTAAATTATTTATTTATTATAATAATTAAATTTTTCTGATTTGGAAACGTAGCTCTCAAGATTTCCTTGTTACCAAAACTGCACATCGAAGTTAAGAAGGTATTGTTTTTATAATGATGAGCGTTTTTTTTTATGAGTGTGTATGTAAATTCAAAGCTCTCACTGAATGGATTTTGTATGTTTATGCTTCAAAAGATTCTGATTTTAATCTAGCTGAACCTATCGTCACTAAAAATTGTGAAAACACCCTCAATTTTAAAAATATTTTAAATATCTCAAAATTGTGCTACCATATAAATTTAATTTTCAAAACTTTTTTATTGTATTTTAAAACTACTATTAATTTTTCAAAAAAACACTAATAATACTATAATTTTAATAAGGTATACTAGAGATAATAAGTTTTCTTTTGTTGTGCTACACATGAAAATCTAAGAAAGAGAAATTAATTCCAACGATTATTCTAATATAAAAAATTGACTGTAAACGTATAATTTCTCAATTTTTACAAAAATCCAAAACAAAACTTTTATTTTTTGAAAATAATTTGATATTTTTTCTATGAGTTATTTGAATATAAAGCAAAAATTGCAAAATTTTTGTAAACATTCATCACTGATCGTAATGAAATTTTAATACAATATAAAATATATAATAACCTTTTTTTGGTATGCTTTTTGTGAAAATACAATGTAAAACTTAAGTACAGGAAGGGTTAGAAAGGGACCATTTACGAAAGTAAATAAAATTTTTTCAACTATATTTATGAAAAGGTTCTAATGACATTTTTTTGATAAGCGATGTAAAATGTTAAATTTCTTATGATTGTGATTAAAATTTTCTTATGTATATCTCTCTCAAACAAAACCATATATACGCTACTGGGCAAAAATTAGAAGTTTATATTTTAACTCGTTTTGTTTTGGTGTTATTTTTAATAACAAATAAAAATAAAAACTTTCTAAGGTATATTTTTCAACATGTATTAATAATAAAATAAAAATAATAATAACAACAGATTTTGTGAAAAGTATTGTCCTAGAGGTAGCTTGAAATTTTTCTTAACATTAAAATCATTCCTATTTTTTTGTGAACGATCTAATTATGTATTATTTTATTCAAATACTTTTATCATTATTAGAATCTTAAAAACCTATCTAATTAAAATCAGTCTGTTTTTTTTACATGAATAGTGGAAGTTCCAACAATATAACTTAAAAATATAAAATAAATTTACCTTCGAATAAACTTGACTTTCTTCGTCAGATTCGGAAGTATCTGTCATTGTTCTCCAGTTGGATCCATTGACCCATAATATTTTACCAGTATTGCTCATCGCTTTGTTTTTAAACATAGTACTAACGACTGATGCCAAACAGTTGGAAGTCGGTGTGTTATTTTCATCGTGCATAAGTAATAGAACAAATGGTTCGCCAGGTTTTCTAAGTCGCTGAAAGCCTGCTCTCAGTTTACTCCATAACCTTTTGTTTTGTGAAGGGAACTGTTTTTTATGCAATTCTACTTCATTTTTGAAGCAATTACTGTCCATACATTGCGAGCTTGATGAAATACCACTGATGATAGATGAGTACAAATTTTCTACCGAATTCATATAAGAAGAACAAAGAATACCAAAAATTCCAAAAATTAAAATTAAAATAGGTAATCTATAGTTTAATAATATTTTTGAATATAACTCTTTAAAATTAGTACAAAGTTCGACTTTAGGATCTGCAAAATTGTCTTTGATAGATGATCTTGAAGAAACTAAAGAAAAATTAATATTAGACGTACATAACTGTCAGGTTAAATGAATAAATTTATATTGACTTACTATTTTTTCTAAATAATATGTCCCATTCGGAATTGAGACATGCCATACATTTACTAGGCTTCCGAGATTTATGATTAATAAGAAACAATTCACATTCTACTATATTGAAAGTGTCAGCATACAATTTGGCATGATTAATAAAACTGATTGAGTACTCATCTATTGGAGATCCACATTTTTCACACTGTACATTAAAAAATAACTATAATACTTTTTAATCTTAATTATATATCAAAATTTCAACAATTTTAAAGCCAATAATACCATAAACATACTACATATGTAGTATGCTATATTAATAATGTAATACTATTAATGAAATGATTTTTGATAAAATAAACTAAAAAAAATTTTCTATAGATAGATGTATTTTATTATCAGTTAGACAAAATAAAATGAGTTGACTTCAACTTTTATTAATATAAAATTCTAAGAAGTATTGAGTATATACAAAACATAAATATTTGTTATTAATTATGTTAAACAAACTAAATTTTTATTTTAAAGTTATTATCATTATTTTTATTATTTCTAAAAAATAAAATTTTAAAAATATTAACTTGAATTTAAAATAAAACTATGGAGTCAATGCTACAAGTTTTTAAATTGTATAATTGCACAGTAACCTTTTAGCAAAATATAGACTTTTATTTTTTTTGTTTATTGAAATGATTTGTTTTAGAAAAAGTAAAAGAAAAAATTCCTAACTCAACTTTTTCCAGTGCAAATAATTTAGTTTAAAGCTATAAATGAATAACTAATCAAATTTAATAATTTTCAATAATAAATCTTTAATTATCATTAATATATGGAAATATGAGTTTTCCATTCATAAAACATAATTGTAGTTATTATAATATATAAAATATAAATCAAATAAATACAAGAGTGTAAATCATTTTTTTTAAGTAATTTAAATACTTACTGAGGGCATATATGGCGCAGTCATTTTAAAAATAGTAATATTAGAACATCAAAAAGAAGGTTCATTTATTTTAAACATTGTAAAATGTTAAAACAAAATAAATCATGATTATTTTGATAAAAGTAAAATATATTATCAAAATTCAAATAATTACAAAAACGTTTTTAATTTTAACTAACAGTATGAATACATTATGGTAAGATAAACCTGTTGGATGTTAGTATAATTATACAACGATAAGAAAATGTTTCTATTTCCCAAATATCCAATATGTGCTACCATCTGATAACACATTTAAGTTATGTGATAACATACTGTTATTCATGTTTTAAATCATTTTTATCTTAGTGAGAAAATTTAGAATCTTTAAAAATGAAGTTGTTATAATATTTTATGTTACGTAAATTTATTATCTTGGTAGTGTTACCTAAATCTATAAATTTATTTCCAATTTTTAATATTATCAATTACTACTAGAAAGTTGATTGAAATGGATCCAAATGTACCGAACCGTATGTACTCTTAAAAAATTATATTAAAAAATATTTACTTCAATATTTAAATCACTCAATAATTAAACTACATTTAATGATTCAATATTTTCCTTTAATAATTTTCGATAAAAAATATTTCAATATGTATTTATTAATTTGTTAACTTTAAATGAATATAGATTGTCCTGGTACAAATAGTTCATCAGCTGGTCAAGTATCTGCTTGTCAAGGGTGTCCAAATCAAAAAATTTGTGCCTCTGGATTGACTCAGGCCCCTGATCCAGGCAAGTTATATTATACTTAAGTAATAAGTAATACTAACTAATCATATAAGCTTATATAAACTTATAATCATTAAATTAAATTTTGTGTCATATTGATTGTTTTAACTTAATAAAAATCATAATATATGTATGTAGTATAACTATAACATTTTTTCTTTAAATAATCACTTTTTTATGAAAAATAATTCAAGTTATATTAGTTTTTAACATTAAATTTGAGATAGGTTTTCAAAAGTTAATTTTAAAAGTTGAATGAGAACTGTTGATATTTTTTTACTTTGCATAACTTTAAGAGATTACTATAATGTATATATAGTGTAAATATTATTATATTTTTATAGCATTGGAAGTATTGAAGCATCGGTTGTCATCAGTAAAACATAAAATTCTAATACTTTCTGGTAAAGGTGGTGTTGGAAAAAGTACGTTTACTTCTTTGTTAGCTCGAGTATTAGCATGTGAAAATGAGCAGCAAAATGTAATGTTTAAAAATATTAATATCACTTAATTATTAAAGAAAATATTAGAATAATTATCTTTTTGAAGGTTGGTGTACTAGATGTTGATATATGTGGACCATCTCTTCCAATTGTATTTGGAGTTCAAGATGAAAAAGTATTTATTTTTCATAGTTGAAAAATTTAATTATTTTTAAAATCAATATTTGATTTTTAATAGGTACATCAAAGTGGTTCAGGATGGTCACCAGTGGTATGTATTAGAGTTTATCAGGATCTGAATCCTGAAAGTGTTTGGTAACCTTAGTGGTATGGTTGGTCTCTACAATGTTTTAGGGTCATAGGTTCTAATCCTTGCCTCTTTTTTTCACACAATTTCCATTATACTTTCTATGACTGACCGTTAAACCCCAGTAGCCATGTTACCTTTTCTTAAAAAAAAAAAATCATTATTCTATAATAATTACCAGTTGCTTTTGATTTTTTGTACATATACGTGTATATATACGCGTTTTTGTGTTAACAATTTTGAAACAATTGAATTGTTCTTTCAGTACCTAAGGAAAAACAGTTATTTTCAAATCAATTAAAAAACTATGTTTGTGCAATTGGTGAAAATAAATTTCAACCTGACTCAATTATATTATTGTGTAAATTTTGTAATATATAAAATAAATTATGAAAAAAAATTTAACATCTTAATACATTAAAAAATATATTAAAGTTTTAAAATGTGCAAAAATTCAAATGAAAAAATATATATTTTCATCGGACATCTGTTTTCTAGAATATTTTAATGTTTAATTAGAAGTAGCCTTATTTTTTTTAATGACACTTTAAATTGTCCAATAACTTTATGAATAATGATTAAATAATCATTTATAAACAACAAATAATGTATAGAGAAATGTATGATAATGTATCACCCAATATAGAACAAGTCCCAGAAAGTTACTCTCAGCATTTACTTTTGACACATTGTTACTGATTAACATACAAAAAATTGTCTTCCTTCATATCTATTAATAACTGCAAAGACATAAAACCATGAATAATACCTAATATTTACAAGCTAATCAAAATTTACCTGCTTAAAATTTAAATAAATTAAAATATTGCTCATTTGGGTATACACAAATGGAGTAAATTAATGTAGTACAGCCTTTAGTTTTAATTTCCCCTAAAATTTTAATTAAATTTATTATTTCACCATTCTATAAAATTTATTAAAACTTTAGTTAAAAATTAGTCAAGATTTTATAATTCAGCTATTTTATTTTAATTGAGCTTCTAATTGAAATTTCTGCTATCATGTACTACATTTTAATTCTTTAATTTTAAGTTTGTTGAAGAAAACTTGTCTGTTATGTCTGTGGGATTTTTACTGGATGATAGAGATGATGCAGTTATCTGGAGAGGTCCTAAGAAAAATGGTGAGTTTTACTTAAATAATGAAAATTTAATTATATTTTTATTAAAAATCTTGTTTTATATACTATTTTATTTATATTACATTAAATTTTTTGAAGTTTCAAATTATATGTTTAATATAAATTATCTTTGTACTATAGTTTTTGTATTTTTTATCTTGAATATGTTTTTCAAATCATAATTTTTTTACTAATTTTATAAATAAATTATAAATTTATAAGTCATTAAAAAAAAAAGCAGCACAGAGGAGACATAGCAAAGTTAGGACAAGGAAGTATAGATGATATCTGACATTGATTAACATCACTATCATAAAAAATGCTTCAATGCAAGTCTGTTAAATTTCATAATTTGTATATATTTAATTTTATAATTTCTATGATTTTAAATCTCACTTGAATATTAATTTCCTGTAAATTATTTGCTGGTTGATGATAATAATGATAATTTTTTTAAAAATATTATAGTTCACTTCAAAAGTTTAATTTGATATATGTTAAATGTTGTCAGACCTTCTAGAATATTTTCAAATATCGAATTGAAAAAATAATCGACATACTTGTGTGAGATCTCTTTTAAGCCCTTCCTGTACTTAGGTTTTTCATAAAAAAATTTTAAGAAGCATATCAAAAGAAAGTTCATTGTCTCTTGTATACTTTATTAAAATCTTATTTGGATCTGTGTAAAAATAAAAGTCATATCAGTTTTAAAATGCTGCAAATAAATATTTTTATTATGCCCTTTTAAAACTAAAAAATTGATAATTGGTGAGGAAGAACCAATTTAATTTAATATTTTTTAATTTTTTTATTATTATCTAAATATACTCATTACCCTTTGAAAAAAGTGCAGTTAAAACCTTATAAGATATAAGGAATGTTTATTAAAAGTATAAGATATTAATAAATTGAACAAAACAAATAACTTCCAGAAACCAAAAAATATTCTCAACATTATGTTTATTTTCAACTAATTAAATTATTAATTTATAAAAAGTAAATAATTATTATTATAATATTATAAAATAAAAATTATAAATGATAATTTATAATTTAATTCATTATTATTATTATTTTTTTTTAATAAGTATTATTATTTATTTATTTTATAGCTATGATTAAGCAATTTTTAACGGAAGTTGACTGGGGAGAAACATTGGATTATTTAATTGTGGATACACCACCTGGAACATCTGATGAACATCTTTCACTTGCTCAGTTTCTTAAATCTACTGAAAACTTTTCAGCAATTGTTGTGACTACACCACAAGAAGTTGCATTGTTAGATGTTCGAAAGGAATTGGACTTTGCTAAAAAAGTTGGGTTACCAATATTAGGTGTTGTAGAAAATATGTCTGTGTTTGTTTGTCCTAAATGTAAAGTTACATCAGAAATATTTCCAAAAAATACTGGTGGAGCTGCTCAAATGTCTCTTGAAATGAATGTACCATTTCTTGGATCAGTTCCTTTAGATCCTTCGTTAGGCAAATGTTGTGATGAAGGTATTAATTTTCTACAAAGATATTCAAAATCTCCAACAATTATGGCTATAAAACATATTGTAGAAAGTAATTTTTTTTTCTAAGTTTAATTCAGTTTTAATATTAATATTCAAACATTTTGTTTCAGATGTGAAGAGAAGCTTAAAGCAGGTTGAACCAATGGTATTTTAAACCACTTTTTTAGTATGATATACTAAACAAATATAAAAGGATAATAATACTTATAATTTATAATATTATATACTTATAATTACTAGCTCATTTTATGTACAATGATTACAATAATGTAAAATTTTAACTTCTATATTGAATTAATTTTATATTTATGCACTGATATCATTATAAAAATTATTTTTTTCATAAAATAAAATTTTATTTGTTACATAAAATGATAAAATATTTTTGATATTAAAGAATTTATAACTGATAGTACAAATTTACTCTAGAACCCTGTGTGCTTAATAGTTCATGGTCATTTAAGAGAAAGTATTTCAGTCATCACATAACATTCATATTGTACAAGTGTGACATAATATATTAATATGATATTAGTGATAACATTAAGTATAACTTTTTCAAAAATAAAATTTTATTTATAATAATAATACTTGTGCAGTCTATTGAAGATATTCATTAAACTTAATCATGGAGGTAAATAGATAAGCAATTGTACTTTGTTTTATCATGTATAATATGAAAGTGTATTTTACACATCAATGTAACAATTATAAAACTGTTAAAACTTATCAATACTATAAAATTAAATTACGGAATAAAATATTCCATTTTAAAATATTAATTAAAAACCTTGGATGACTTTGTCTTTAATTAGATTAAAGATATTGTGAAAAATGATGTCATTCTAGTTTATTTTGTTAATGTTACATTTAAAATTGTATAATAACAAGAATTATTTAAAAAGTTCTATTAATTAAATATTAAAAAAACCATTAATATTTATTGGTCAAGACTATTAAATCAAGGCAATACTCAATAAAATTTGGTTACATATTTTAACATTTAAATATTTGTAGCTTAAGGAAATAAGTATATTAAGTATCAAGAGTAGTTAATAGATATCAAATTATGTTTTTAAAGAGACTTAAATTAATGAAACAACATATATTATTTAATTAATATTATATATAAATTATTGTTTGAATAGATTTAACCTCATAAATGCTAAAATATTTTCTATTACTTAATTTTTTTTTAATGTTTTAATTATTTTATAATGTACATCTCATTTTATTATAAAATTATTATATTAGTTCCAGATAATACTGTACATAGTTTTGTTATGTATAAACATAATCTATGGTGCAAAATTTGAAGCATTTTATCCTAGAGAAGCCTATGGTGTGAGCAATGGAGCGTCCAGATCTCCACATGGCCATGGTTCTTTTTATAAATATAGAAATCCAGCTTTGATAGATGCTAAAAATTCTCCAGCTTATGGTTATAGATTTGATGGAAAAAGACGTTTCAATTTTGATAGATAATAATATGAAATTATTATCTAATAGCAAATTAAATTTGTTTAATTATGCTTGCTAACATTATTTTTGTATTTAATCATCAATTATTAAAAATAAAGAATTAACATTTTATTTTTATTAATACTTAAAATGGTTTTTAATTTTTATTAATTATTAATTAATAATAATTCATATTTAATTTTAATTAATAATAATAAATTATTTATAAAAAAAAATATGGCTACCAATCCAAAAAATAACAAAAACTTAATATTAACTATACTTACTAATATAAAATTTATATATTATGTGTTTTTTAACTTAATGATAAAAAATGGTCCTTTGTTCATTAATATTGTAAAAGTAAAATAACATTGTAATTTATATAATAAATTATATAAATTTATTTATATGATAAATTGTAATTTATTTATAAAATAAATGTTCTGAGTAAATATATACATTTTAATAACTAATTATAAATTCTACCTCTATTTATTATACATGCAGATAATTATCTACTTTAATTTTAGGAGCTGGTCTAGAAAATGGCGAAAGCCATGTGATTGAGACACGTCCAAATACTGCTTGTAAACTTTTCCACTTAGATTTTTTCATCCATCTAGCTTCTTCTTTTTTCAATTGTTCAATGCCCTAAGATAATAATTAAGAAAAGCAATAATCAATAAATGTCAGTGTTATGTAACATTAAAATAATAATTAACTAAAACTCACACTCAGTACATTTAGTTTTAACTTCGATTTCATAATAAATTTTAATTATACTTTTAAAATATTATTAAAATAAAAAAATTTATAAGATAATTTTTAATTAATTATATTTAAGTAGATGAAATAAACAATATTTAAATAACAAAGAATCTTTTTACTCAAGAACTACTAATATATAAATGTGCTATTTAAAAATAATATTGTTTATCATACCGTTTCATCAGAACAAATGGCTTGAAGTTGTGTTACAAACATTACCATTGTAAAAATTGAAAATAGTAATGCTTCAAAACCTAAAAATATCAAAAATACTACAGTAGCTGGTGGAGTGTACCAAGAGCACTGTTTCCACTCGGAATGTAAACACCAGACAAATTGGCTTACACATAAGTATAAAGCATGAAATGACATGGCTGCAATATAAAGCTGAAAATAAAAGTAAAACAAAAATTATTTTATACATTATAAAAAATTAAATATTAATATAACTATGGGGTTGTTTAGAATTAATTGGTTACCGTAAACAGAACAAAAAATTTTTGATTGTTTTCTCCTACACAGTTGTTGACCCAAGGACAATGATGATCCATTTTTCTTATGCATCTAAACATGAAATTTTAATATTTAAATATTAATTACGAGGTGAAACATATATTTTTTTCAATAAAAATAAACCTTTTTTTAAAACATTAATATAATTTAATATGGTCTAGTAAAAATTAAAAAAATAAAATACATATTAATAAAGCCTTATGGGTATGAATATCATAGTTATTAATTCAATGGTATAATTTATACTATAGATAACAAATAATTTTTTAATTTTAAAATGATGTCAGAATTAATAATATAAAAGTTTTTATAAATCATATTTAATATATATAACTTCTTTTTAGATATGATACCTCTGACAAACTGAACAATGGTGAGCTCTTGATGGTTTGATACAGCAACATTTTGGACATTTATATATGACTTGACCTTCACGCAATCCTAAATTTTGTATGGTTTCTTTAGTTGCATTTCCTTTTGGTACAGCACCCTGTAAAATTTAATATAACTATTATACATTAAACAAATAATTTTAAATCCTCTTCTTCTTCGCCTTAATCCCAACTACTTGGTGTCAGCCACCCTTATCCTAAACTTTCACTTAACACGATCTCACACATCCTCTACGCTCACATCAGATGTCCTCATATTGCTTTAAATAACATCTCTCCATCTCTTTTAGTCTTCCTCTACCTCTTCTTCCTTCAACATTCAAAACAAATAATTTTAAATAAGTAGTAATATTCTACTTATGCTATTTTTTATAAATTTAAACTTATATATGATACGAAAAAAAAAAAACATTTTTAATTATATGACAAAATTATAAAAAGAATGTTATATTTTAATGACATTTATTTGATTTATATTGAATAAAAAATAAAGTATGTACATATAAAATAAATATATAAATTTAGAATTATTAAAAATACAACATATCACAAAAACTTATGAATAATGTTAAAATATAATTAATATATTAATATGTCCACTAATAATTATTTACTTAAAATAATAAATTATAAAATACAATTTGAAAGTTATTTAAATAATAGATTTAAATTGAACAGTTTATTTATAAGAAAGGATACTAGTAATTTTTAATACTTTCAAGAAATATAAAAATCAGAATATTTTTATCTAGAGATATAAGTAATTAATCAAATATAAGTAGCAATATTGATAGCTAAACTGTACATATAAATAATAGTGACATCAGGAGATCCAGTGTAAAATTGTTTACTATTTTCACGAAAAACAAAAATAAGTCAAAAAGCGACTTTCTCATAAAACACATCCAATTACTGTACTTCATATCATTAATAATAAGCCATAACTATTGGCAACAATACTTCGGTGGAATTATTTAGAAGAACAAATTGAATTAATATATTTTAGTAGGAGGTACGCACAATAATTACTACTTACAGGATCAGTGAACATTGTACGTAAATGTGAAGCCATTGCAAGAAATGCAAAACTTTGAAATATTAACATATTTACAAACTGAAAAATTGGATATGGACATGGTAAGAGTGTAACAAAGGTAATAACAAACTCTGCATATAAAATCAGTAGCCATGTAAATATAGCACAAATAATTCCACAAATATCCTAAAAAAATAGTTAAAACAATTTAGATTATTAAATATTTTACTTATAAACTAATATTTTGAATTAATAAAAGTATTGTTTTTAAAATTTTATTATGTACATGTAATTATAAAAAAATATATTTTGTAAACTAGATTTTTAAGAAATGTAATTTTTTAACTACCTCTCAAGAATCTGAGGTAATTGATCAGGCAATATTCAAATGTTTTCTAAAATATTTTTTAGTTAACTAATATTTACTTGAATACACCACAAAGATCCACCACAACATTTATTATGAGGATCAAGTCCTTTGTTTGGATAAACTATCATTTGATCGTTATCGTCCATAGTAGAATAGTTCTTGTTTCCATAAAACAATTACATGACGAAAATGTTTCAGCTTAAATTACCTTATTTTAATTCATAAGCAATTGCACTACAAAAATCATAAGTATTATAAAATTTAATTATATGTTTTAAAAATATAATATCAATTATTTGGGTAACATTTTTGATTTTCTAACAACCTTAAAAGTTAAAATATATTTTAAACGTTTGAATTTACTTGCTTTAAATAGTGGCAAATTACTATCACCGATTAAGTAAGTAGTTTGATAACTGATAATACTTTTTCTTATCTATTTATCAAAATAATATAGCCTATAAAACCATTAATTTTTTAATTTTTACGGGTTTAATAATAATAATATACTCGTTATACAACAATAAATTATATTCCTCTAGATATATATTATAAATACCTTTTACAGAGTGTTTTAGTATATTTTGATAGTTCTAATAATTTTTAATGCACTTAACCATTAATCGAGGAGGGGTTATGGGAGTCCTCCAAAAGTTGACGTATACGTCAACTACAGACTATCCCTAGACATTTAATAAAAAATTTATGTATTTTTATAAAAAATTTTAAGGGTAGGGAAAAATCAATTTAGCTTTCTAAAATTTCTAAAAAATTTTTCTTTAACTTACAAAAATATCAAACAAATTTCAAAATTTAACATTTTGTAGTGAAGATCTTAAGGAAAAAATTGATAAAAAATATCTTATTAATATTCAATTGTAAATCTTCTATAGAATTTTTAGTTAATGTTAATTTGAATTTTCTTGTGTTTGTTTTACGATATCAATCATTGAAATATATAATAGAGAATGCAATATTTTCATGCTAATATTGGTTAAAAGTATGTAACGTTCTCTATGAAAATTATCTACACTCGAATGTGGACCTGTTATAAAATTAAAAAAATTGAGTAGTAACCTGTATTATCTTTTAAATATAAATAAATTTATTCAAAGTGAATGATAATTTAACGAAATCTACTTGAAATTATCAAAATAGTTGAATAAATATAACATTTAAATAATTAACATTATTTATGTGATTATTATATATTTGATGATATATGAAAAAAATATAGCCCAAAAAGTATGATTGTAGCGGTAATGTCTTCGTACGTGCAATAAAGTTAATAAAAAGAGGGGAAAATTATAAATAAATGTGGTATAAAGATAATATAAAAAATATGTAATAATGGCGGATTGTTATGGACGATTAAATAATAGAATAATAGTGGTAATATGTTCAATAACTAAATAAATTACAATATCCCTTATACATTTCCTAATCTATTTTAATGATTTATTACGAAAAAAGACATTTGTACTCTAATAGTAAGAATCAAAATTCTACTTAAAGTATTTATACCATACAATAGAATTTCATGTAATAAAATATTTGTAATCTTTTGTCTATTAAATAAATGCACCATGTAAAGTTATCCAATTTTAGTAAGACACTCATTTTCTAATAAACTCTTGATAATTTTAAATTGTTAAGAAAAATATAATAGGCTTGCAAAACTCAAAAATTGGTTTTTTTTTTGTGTTATTTGTAAGATGGATTTTTAATTAATTTATTACTTTTCAAGACTTTTAATTAAATATAGAATTAAAGTTTTAAAATATTTTGAAAAATTGATTTTTTTTTCATGCATAGGTTATATTTTTCAAACTCTTTTTGTACTTGGATTATTTATTAGATTTTTATAAAAAAACATACCAATAATAAAGTATATTAAATCTTGTATAGCTCATAAATATTTTATAAGTGTTTTAAAAAAAAGTTATAGCAGTTTTACCAATAAGTTCTCAGTGTCGCTACAAAGCTAAAACAAAACTAAACAAAATATGAAACTTTATTGATGATTTGGTATAACTTATAAGAACGGGGAAATATTAAGAAAAAAACTTATAAAAATTAGGCTACAGTGAAAAGTGGTATTTTAATTTTTTTACTGAATATTATAGCTGCTATAATATTTTTTGTATATCCCTAAACATAAGTTAGACACATAGCATAAAATTTTAATTTTATTTAAAAATGTAGTTCTAAAATTTAATTAAAGTAATATTTTTATTAATTTTAGTGTATTCAATTAGAATTTATGTGATTAGTATTTTTTTCTTTGGTAAAAGTTTTTATTTACTTATAAAAACTTTTAATTGTAAACTTTGTTAGTTTCAATAATATTTTAATAGTTAATACTACCAATATTTCTTATGTTTTGATAGAAATTAATATTTTTTTAAATTTAAAACTCTTACTAAATTAAAATTTACATTCAATATGAATGATTTATAAAAAAGTAAAATTCATTCAATATTAATTAAAAATATATCTAAATATTACAAAGTTTTAGGAATTTAAACTTGATTTTAAACATTATAACTATTTCAATCCAATATCAAATATTATGATTACAATTATTTTTTTAGAAATTATCACTATAAATATCAATAACTTATTTGGAAATTTTACAAATACAAGCATTAAAAATATTACAATGCCAAATCAAAAGTTGTTCATCAACATAATTTCTGCGTACAATATTTTTTCGCTATAATAACTTGATAGAGAAAATTTTGCTATATAATATTTATTCTTTCGGTAACGCACTGTCACTTTTACCACGAGCATAAGCTTTTACAACTGCTGTTTTGCTTCCTAACATTCGATCAAGTAATGATTGTTTGTTTTTTCGACGAACGCTCATTACTTCCCTACAAACTTCCAGAAATACATCAGCAATCTGACCAACTTGTTCTGCAGCAGCCACTTCTGTGAAACAGCATTCAAAATCTTTTGCTAAAATTTCACCTAAAAAAGCAAAATAATTTGAAATTATATGAGTAAACATTAAATATAATAAAACACACTAACCTTCTTCAGTGCTCACTTGTCTTAAATGAACCATGTCAGCTTTATTAGCCACTAAGACTACAGGCATTTCATATGTGTCTAACATAGTTTGTTTTACTCTCATTACATAGTTAAAAGATCGTCTGTCGGTTATGGTAAATACCATAACTAATGCATCTGCCCAATTATAAACTTCACTTAATGGCATTTCTTCATCATTCTACACAAATAGAAGTATGCACATGAACCAAAAACAGTAAATATTCATTACTATTTAAGTTATTATACTTATAGTCTAAATCAGTGATGTTTTCATAGAGAGGTGGTGCAACAAATCCTGGCCCCCATTGATATTACATTTTTGTTAGCGGAATAATGTGGAGGGTGGGATTCTGTGTTCAAATGTCAAGTGTTAGATTGACATGCCTTTGATAATAGATGAATACCATACTTTTATTGATAGTAATATCACTATATACTATACAAATTACATGATATTGTTGTTTAATTCTAGATATTCCTTATTTTAATCATTATTCATTATTTAAAACTAGGGGTGGCATGATATCAATTGATTCACAATTGACTGCTTGAAATTTGATTAATTGACTAAAGAGATTTTGACCAATAATCTGGTTAAAATAAAAAAAAAGAATTATGTATTTAAATTTTTATTTTAAGTTGTTATTTTAAGAAAGTATTAGCTCCGGGCCCGACAAAACCTAGCACCGGCCCTGCTCCCCATTTATTGTTGTCATGAGCTTTGCCATTATGTTATGTACGACCGTTCATTCAACGTCCTGTCTATCCATTTATTCTTCGCTTTAATTAGCACTGACTTTAAGTTAAAGTTTCTACAGCAACTACAAGAACAAACTGATGAATATTGTTTTGACGTTTGCTTGTAGTTGTTTGTTTAATTTTACATAATTAATTGTATTGTTTATGCAATTATGACATTTAGTAATAAGTGGCCCTCTGTCCATATTATTTGTACTAAATAACTATGTTGTTTATTATATTAATTCCCTATATATTTATAACAAAACACGTGTTTCATATTTAATTAAGTACCTCATACAGACCATTTTTCTTATTCCTCTCATTCCTACAAATCTTCATTCCTTCAGGTAATATACAACAATATTGTTCTACATATTTTCTATCTAACACGTTTGGTCCACGAACAAGCAATAGATCATACACATATCATTAGTTTTACAATTAAAAGTTTAATACAAATATTTTCGATCTAATTTTTATAAAAGTTGCGCTATGAGGACGGCTAATGTATGTGTACATGTTGCAAGAGATCGTGTCAAGTGGAATTTTATGATAAGAGTGGCCGACCCCAAGTAATTGGAATTAAAGCGAAGAAAAAGAAGAGGAAGAAGAATTTTTATAAAAGTTATGTTTTAATAATATTCTTTTTATTCCAGTTATCCAATTTTATTTAAATAAATAAATTACTTTTGGACAAGTGTCTAATATTTCAAAAAGAATTGGCTCTCCATCTACCATCACTTCGTGTTTGTATCTTGTATCTGTAAACATATAATTAATAATATTATAGAATAGTAAAGATAAAGATTAAAAAATATTAACATCCAAATTTTCGATTTTAAAGATTAAGACTTCTTAATCGCTGAATAGTTTAAGTTAGTTTTAGTTTGTCTTATTTATTAAATGAAAATAAACTAAATATGTTTTAAAAAAAACCCAGCACAGGGGGGTCGCGGCACAGTGGTGACGTGGCATAGTTGGATCAAGTAAATGATATCTGACAGTGATTAAAATCACTATCAAAAATAAACGCTTCGATGCAAATCTTTAGATAGTGTTTAATTTTAAAAAAATTGGTGTTTTATTCCAAAAGCTACTTGATCTGCTGGTTCCTTATTAATATCTCGATAAAGATAAAGTATGGTAAATGAAACAGGGTTTATTAAAAAATATTATTTGTCATAAAAAAATTGTGTAGATCCATAAACTTTTCAATAAGTTATAGCATTATAAAGTTAAATATAATATAAATAATAAAATCGAGAATTTTCACACGAAAA